TTTAAAAAAATATATTGAGGGACATCTAGGTAGCACAGTGGTTAGAGTACTGACCCAAGCATCATTGAGGGGTTTGAAGTCTTCAGTTACCCTCAATCTGGTTTAGCTCATCAGCCAAGATGTTTTACTGGGGTGTGGCTACTGAGCATGCTTCAGTTTCTTGGAGCCACAGATGAGAGTTGGATGAAAGTGAACACCAAAGGTATATGAGCTCACACCTGAACCTCACACCACAGTGCTAGTCCTCCTTGAACACCATATACACCTCATCTTTCCTATTACTGTGGAAGGCAGTATCATCCTCTCCACATAGGCACAAAATCTAAGTATCATCTTTAACTCCTCACTTTCTCAGAGTTCCATCCTCCCTATCACCAAGCAGTTTCAAAGTCCTGTTATTTCTTATAATATTGCTTCTATATGCCACTTGCTATCGTCTGACACTGATACTGCTCTGGTGCGGGGCTTCATTATGTTATGCTTAAACTATTTGCAGTACTCTTCTTGTTATTCTCCCTCTTGAGACCAGTTTGTCTCAAGTTTCTCCTAACCATAGCTCATCCTCCACCCAGTTATCAAAGTGATCTTCCTAAAGCCCAAGTCTGACCATGTTACCTTTCCCTCCCTGAGATAATCTTCATTGGCTTTCTATTATCTCCATGAACAAAAATACAATCTTCTGTTTGACTTTTAAAGTCTTTTATGCCACAGCCCTTCTCTACCTATCCAGTCTTCTTATACTTTCTTCCCCTCCATGTACCCTGTGATCCAATGACACTGAGGTCCTTGTCATCTCATGCACACAGCATTCCATCTCCTGTTTCCAGGTATTTTCACTAGCTATTTCCCATGCCTGACTGGTCTCTCTCCTCATCTCTGAAAGATTAGGATGGCACATGCCACAAAGTGTAGCTTTAATAAGTAAATTTAAATCCAAACACCCTTTGGTATCAAGAAACTAAGTAATTGGTTTGGAGTCTGTCAATAAATATTTATTAAGTACCCACTACCTGCCAGGAACTGTGCTAAGTGCTAGGAATACAGAAAGAGGCAAAAGATAGTCCCTACCCTTAAGGAGCTCACAATTTAATGGGAGAGACAAGGAACAAACAAATACATATAAGTAAGTTATCTATCTATCTGTAATAGGAAATAATTAAGAGAGGCAAGGCACAGGAATTAAGAGGGGTTGGGAAAAGCTTCCTGTAGAATATAGGATTTTAGTTGGGAATTAAAAGAAGTCAGGGAAGTCAGTAGGCAGAGGTGAGGAGGCAGAGCATTCCAGCTATGGGAGACTGTCAGAGAAAATGTCCAGAGCTGAGAAATGGAATGCCCTTTTTATGGAACAGTAATGAGCCTAGTGTCATTGAATTGGATAGTATGTGGTAGAGAGTAAGGTATAAGAAGATTGAAGAAGTAAGAGGGGGCTAGCTTATAAAAAGGCTTTTAACACCAAATAGAGGATTTTTTATTTGATCCTGAAAGTGATAGGGAGCCACTGAAATTTATTGAGTGTGTGGGAGGTGTGATATGGTCAGGTTTACACTTTAAGAAAATCACTTTGAGGATTGAGGATGGCATGTAGGTTGCAAGTCTGAGGGACTGGGAGGATGATATTGCCCTCCACAATAATAAGAAAGGTAGGAGAGGGAAGGAGGCTTTAAGGGGAAAGATAATGATTTTTGTTTTGGACATGTTGGGTATAAGATTTCTACAAGACATCTAATTCAAGATGTATGAACAGCAGTTGGAGATATGAGATTGGATGTCAGCAGAGAGATTGGGGCAAGATAGGTAGATTTGAGAATCATGATGAGATCTCAAGGGAAAATAGTAGAGAGGGAGAAAAGAAGAGGGCCCAGGTCAGAGTCCTGACAGACACCTATAATTAGAGGGCATGAATCAGATGAGGGACCATCAAAGTTGACAAAGAAAGAGCACTAAGATAGGTAGCAGAATAACTGAGGGGAGAATGGTGTACAAAAATCCTAGAGAGAAGAGAGTATCACAGAGGAAAAAGTGATCAACAATGTGAAAAGCTCCAGAGAAGTCAAGGAAAATAAGACTGAGCGAAGACCATTTGATGGCCTCCATAGATCTCCATATTAGAAGATATGCATTCTAATTCCTTTCCTAGTTTCTACCTGTTTCAGCTTTTGGAAGTCACTTTACAGCTCTAGGCTAGTTTCATTATCCAGAAAATAAGAATGGATATAATGGTATGCAAGTGTCTTGTTAGTGCTAAATTCTATGATTCTCTGACTCAGGAGTGAGATAATTAGAAGGATATCAAAGAAGACTGTAGCATCAGGAACTGTAAATTAAATAAGCATAATTAAGAACCAAACTGGAGCAGAGGTTATATTTTATGATATGTTGTAATTACAAGATATACATGACTTAGGTCTGCATAAGGAAACTTGACTCGTTTGAATTTTACTCATAGACTGAAAGACTGAGATCCTTCATCTGAAATGCTGTACTGTGGTTCTGAAACCTTACACTGGGAAAGTTCTCTTAGCCTTCTCTAGGGATTGAGCACTAGGGTTGAAAGAAAAGACAAATGACACTAATGAATTTTTCTTGTTCAGTTTTTAGATTAGCATTGTTCTTAGTCCAGTCATCTGGCTTTTGAACCATTAGGTTTGGTGTCCCCCATGGGATTTCTCTGTGTTCTTGAAACCTTACTTTTTGATTTCCTCCCATGGGTACATTTTTTCCTTTGATAAACAAGAGGACTATTTAAATGCAATCCCACTTTCTATTTAAGGAATAGTAATTCTAAAAGCATTCTATGATTAAGGGAAACATTTTACTTGCAAGTTTACTTAAAATAGGTCTTTATAATAGCAATTTATTTAAAAAGTATTGATAATACTATCTTATTTAAATGTGTTTTTATTAATTATTGTTCTTGTTATTATTATCTAATGAACAATATATTTTATTTACAATAGAAAAAAATGGGGAAGAGTGGAAGCTTTTCCAATCAATTGGAGAAGAAAACAAAAATATGCCTTTTCCCAACAATCATTTGATATAATTCAAGAAATGTTAGCAGTAGTAGCATATCAAGAGAACAAAATTAAACCCAGAAAGACAGGCAAAGATGAAAGGAAATTATCCCCATGTACTGATGACATGATGGCTTACTAAGAAAATCCCAGGGAATCAGGAGGAAAAAATAACTGAGATAAGTAATAGTTTTGGGAAAATAGAAGGATACATCTATTTTACATGAAGCAATAACAAACTCAGGAAGGAGTAGTAGAAAGGGAAGTGCCATTCAAAATAATTACAAATGTATAAAATATCTGGAAGTTAGTTTGTCATATATATATTTTTTCTTTTTTCTTTCCTTCCTTCTTTCTTTCTTTCTTTTAAAATGTTAGTTTTATTGTATATTGCTTATTATTTTATCCTTCATATAACTATTTACTATTAAACATTTAATTATTCATAAGTTATAGTAGTGCTTAATTTAAAACAAACATTTAAATAAAACACAATTATAAATAATGAATAATTAAATCCTGACACATTTTACATAATTATCACTTTAAATTGTAAGAATTCAAATACATGAAGTTCATTGGATTAATTTTTTTTCACAGTAAATAATCAGGGCCTAGCCATAAGATTTACAATGGATATACTCTACTTGACTTGCTGAATGCAGCTGAAATTGGTTTATCTCCAGATAGAGATTATGATAAGTCTAAGATCAATAAGTAGAATCATAGGTGCTCCATTGATGATTTCATATGCACTCACTCAATAATATGTTGACAAGAAATGTAAAAAATGGCTAAATCTTGGTGATCCAGGTTCTGGCTACTTCTTTCTAGTTTTGCTCTCCCTTCAAATACTTCTCCTTAAAGAAAGTTTGATCTCTCTTTTTCCCAGCTCTGGATAACTCTGTCTGTTTCTTATGTAGATACAGTGTATTGAGTAATCAATCTCTACCAATAAAGGGTATCACATGCAAATTGACTTTAAGCCACGATTTTACACACACACACACACACACACACACACACACAAAGTATTTACTCATGTATGTACATATTATTTGCCCTTACAGAATTTATGATTTCTTGAAGGAAGGAGTTGCTTCATTTTTGCCTTTTTATTACAAATGCCTAGCACAGAGAACAGCATATAGCAGGTGCTTAATAACATTTTAATTCCAATGTCTTCCATTGAAAAAAGAAAGAAAGGAAGGAAGAAGGAAAGAAAGAAAGAAAGAAGGAAGGAAAAAATATATTGTCTTCTAGTTAACATATAGGATATAGAAAAAAGAACTCATAACATGAAGCATTGTTGCATATATTCTTTTCTCCTTTAGAGGATCCATTAGAGGGCTTCCTCTGGTTCTCATTCTGTGCACCGATAAACGTCATGAAGCAAAGAAGAGAACCAGACAACTTGCTGTAGGAAAATTTGAGGAGGAAGAGAGTACTTTTGTTGGATAAATGAGGGAAGGCTCCATGGGGGAGGTGGTAACACTTAAATTGTCTCTCCAAAGGAAAGGATTTCAAATCTGCATAGCTGAAGAGGGAGAACATTCCAGGGATGAGGGATGGACTGTTTAAATGAAAGGAAAATTATGGTTATTCCTCATTTTCAATATATAACTGAACCTATCTTCCTGTCTAGTCTTATATGTCTTAAATTATATCTCATACCATTTCTTCTAATTAAGTCATCATTGGTAATATGATGCAGGTTATTTGTCTGCACCAAGTGTTTTTCCCATTGCCCTAGAGGTAGCATGGTAGAGTGGAGAAAGCATTGAGAAAGGATTGTTGTTATGTTAAGATCAGGGCACAGCTTGCTTGCTGGGTCTTAGCTCTGGAAAACAGGGTGTCTCCTAATAGTGAAAAAAAAGAGAAGAGTAAAAAGAGAGGGGTGTGTCGCGGCTGCTGTAGTGGAGAGCAAGAGACCAGCTCAATGCTCAGTGACCCAGAGACACATGGATGAGACAGGAGACAACAAGATGGCAGAAGCTCTGTTTATTGTTAGCTGGGTGTGTCCTATATAGCCCTCAAAGCACCTTGGGATCGCGTGATCAGAACCCGTCAGTCAATCAGTAGATCCCATCATTGCATACAGGCCTGGAGTCAGGGATGTGCACGGGAACACTCAGTCATTCAGAGGAGCGCCGAACCAGTCATGACTGCTGCATGCCAACAGAGGAGAAGTCAGTTAAGACTTCCTTGTTTTCACACAACAGACTGTGACCCTCAGCTTCCTGCTGAGGAAGCCAGAACTCCTATAGGCAGGGCACAGCCCCGTGATCATTCGTGTGACAATTCCCCCTTTTTGTTTATAGAGGAGCTGCCTGTGCGGATGGATCTCTATTAGGACTTGTACTTGGGCTGAGATTTTATGAATCATCTCTACTACAGTTTCAGCACACACCCAATTATAGTAGGTAAGCAGCAGAGGAGAATTCCAAAGAATACAAGCAGAATAAGTAAATGGGTGAAAGAGCCCACCAAGCAGAAGCATTATAAAACCAATGTAATATTTTTTCTGCGGTCTTATCATGGGTTAAGTCTTCCCTGGTAGCATTTTTTATAGCAGAGGCCAATTGGTAAAGACCCTCGATATTGGACTCAATGGTGTTATTGAGAAATAAACCATTTAGATGGTTGCGTATGACCGTCCAATTGTTAAGTGTTGTTATCATGAATGAGAGGTGACACACAAAGGCTAGTGTATCTATAGTCACACAGGAGATCCTGCTTCAACTTAATGAGCTCAACCTCGGCAGTGCCAAGGTGCTACTGGTCGATGTCATCATTTTCTTTCATCTCCTCCTCTTGCTGGGTCTCCTCCTTTTCTTCCTGGGGTGTCTCCCGAGTAGGGACAAGTTTGAGAGGTTTTGTTGGCACCCACTTTGCTCCTTCACCTGTTGAGACACAAGCATACCCTGGTTCCCAGGTTAGTACCCTGAAAGGTCTTATCCATTCATTGTCGGGATTTTTCCATAGGACTAATTTCTTTTTATCTATGTAAATTGTTGGGCCATCATGGGTTAAGGTAGGTGAATTGTGAGGTAAAAAGAATTTCATAGCAGGGGTAAGGTCATTACAATCGAATTTTAAATAATTTATAGTATATAAGATTTTATTAATCTGTCTTTGAGGGGATAACCGCTCAGCTCCCCCTTTTTGTTTTTGAAAGAAAGTTTTAATAGTTTGATTCATTTGTTCAACAATGGCTTGACCAATTGGGTTATATGGAATACCACATATATGCTGTATGCCAAACTCTAGAAAAAAAGGTTGTAATTGCTTTGCAGTATGAGCGGGCCCATTATCAGTCTTTATCACACATGGTGGGCCAATTATAACAAAAGCATGATAAAGGTGATTAATAACATGTCTAACAGTTTCACCTATTTCAGGAGTAGCTATACAAAATCCAGAAAATGTATCAACAGTAACATGAAGGAATTTATGTTTCCCCAATGGTGGAATATGGGTAACATCCATTTGCCATAGAGAATTAAGAAAAAGGCCTCTAGGATTGATACCAGAGCGAAGTGATGGGAAATTGAAAGGGACACATCAAGTGCACCTTTTTACTATATCTCTTACTTGTTCTCTGGTTATACCATAAAGGTGACGTAGACACTTGGCTGACACATAATATTTGCCATGTCCTTCTTGTGCATCTTGACAATTGCCTATAAGCATAGAATCCACAATATTGTTCCCTGAAAATATGGGACCTAAGCCATCTGTATGAGATCTTACATGCATTACATACAGAGGATGTTGTCTTGATCTAATGCATGATTGAGGTTCATAAAACAATTCTGTTATTGGTAAAGCTTCAGGTTTAATATATGCTGTTTCGATGTGAGAGAGCACACCAGCAGCATAATGACTGTCTGTAATAATGTTAATAGGTTGGGGTATTTTGCAAGCATGTATAAGAGCATATAGCTCATTCTTTTGAGTGGAAGTGTATGGAGTTTGTATAACTGTGTGAATGTCTAAGTCAGGACAATATATAGCAGCTTTCTTTTCTTTAGTAGCATCAGTATAGACATTATAGCCATCAACAGGTGTATCCTTGACAATCTTGGGGAATATCCATTGCCAATTGTTAAACCATTTTGCAAAGGGGTATTTTTGTCCTGCTTGAATATTACCTAGATTCAATAACACAGTCCAATTCTCATCACAATATAAAAGGGTCTCAAGTCTTTCTTTTGTAACAGGGACCCATAAAGTGTCTTTCTGTCAGCTAAGATGTAAAATGCAGAGAAATGCCTTTTTAGCCAATATAGACACTTCTTCCAGATAACTAGTTAAAACCCTCTTATTACTGATTTTGCTGTATAAGCATTCTATAATTTTTTCTTCTTGGTGAAGTATAATGTGTGGATGTTGTTGAGCCATTATCAATGTGGCTTCAACCTCCTTCTGTGGAGATACCCGATGAGTGTGGTTTCCTAATTTCCTAATGATTTGTTTTAAGCTTTGTTCAGCCTCAGGGGTCCATTTTCTAGGAGAATTTAAGTGAGGATCCCCTTTTAAGATAGAATATAAGGGTTGCATCTCCTCATTAGTAATGCCCATCTTTGGTCGTATCCATTGAATATCTCCTGTCAATCTTTGGAAATCATTTAAAGTTTATACCTTATCTTGTCTAAGCTCAGGAGGTTGTAAAGAGACTTCCTCCAAGTCGAGTTGGAACCCCAGATATTGAAAGGGAGCTTGCTTTTCTACTTTCTCTGGTGCTCTCTGAAGCCCTTTGTTTGTTAGAATGGATATTGTTTCTTGGAGTATCTGCTCAAGGACCCCTAAATTGGGATGACTACAAAGAATATCGTCCATATAGTGCACTATATAAGCTCCTTTATATTTAATTCTTAAAGGCTCTAGTAGGTCTGCTATATACCTTTGGCAAATAGTAGGACTATTTTTCATTCCTTGTAGTAAAACTTTCCATTGATGTCTCCGAGCAGGGGCACAGTGATTTGGTGTAGGTATGGAAAATGCAAAATCTTGCAGTCATCAGGGTGCAAGGGTATGGAGTAAAAACAATCTTGAATATCAAAAATCCACAAGGGTTGATGTCTAGGGATCATATTAGGTGAGGGTGGTCCTCTTTGCAAAGGACCCATGTTTTCCATTCTTTTATTTACTTCCCTTAAATCTATTAACATTCTCCATTTTCCTGATTTTTTCTTAATGACAAATATAGGAGAATTCCATGTACTAGAGCTTTCCTCTATGTGTCCCTGCTGTAATTACTCTTGTACTAAAGAATGTAAGGCGGTGAGTTTCTCTTGTGTCAGGGGCCACTGATCAACCCACACTGGTTCTTTTGTAAGCCAAACTAATTTATGTGCTGTCAATGAAACATCAGTGGCCCCTATGAAAAATCTGTGCTGATTGTAACACCCATGTCTGTAAGAATGTCACATTCCCATAAAATACGAGGTAATCCTGCTGTGATATACGGATGGAATGTGCCATTTTTATTGTCCTTTTCCCAAGTGAGGAGACTGGTAGAGATTTCTGTTTCTTGATTGCCTCCTATACCTCGTAGAAAGGTATAAGCCAATTCCTTAGGCCACCAAGGTGGCCACTGGTCTGCGGGGAATACTGATTTATCAGCCCCAGTATCAATTAACCCTGTAAATTTCTGTTTCTCTACACTGATAGCACATAGGGGGCAGTCCATGGAGATGGCTTGTGTAAAAAACACTCCTGACCTCCAGCCCATCTGTGGGCCTTTTACTATGGTAGGGTCTTCTATGTGGAATTCTGCAGTGATGGCAATGGCTTGAGCCACACACTGTCCCCTTTCTATATAGGTATCATCATTGTTAGTGTTAATCATGGTGAGGTGAGAGAGGGAACCTTTATACATTTGAATAACTGGGACTGCATGTGAGTAGTACTGATATGGGGGTGATATGGTAATCAGGGAAAATTCTGGCCCTAATTCCTCTTGGTCTGTGAGTGGGACATTACAGACAGCATGGGGTGGCAGTCTAAAATTATCTAAGCTTCTCAGTTTCAATACTCTAATTGTTTTTCTTGGGCAGCTAGAGTCATGTATTTCTTTCCCCATTTGTTTGGGAGAGGAGTTGATTCCTGTACTGTCATTCCCATGGGACGAGTGTTTGGGGCTCCCACAGAATCCCTGCACCCATTTCCCGACCTGCATTCAGAGGCCCAGTGCCCTGGTTTCTTGAATTTTGGACAGGGTGTGGTAGGGTGCCTTTTGTTTGACTTGCAGTCTTTCTTAAAGTGCCCCTCTCTCCCGCATTGATAGCATGCTTTCCCTGTTTTTCCCCCTGACTTATGCTCTGATAAAAATTGATTCATCAACTCAAAGTGGAAACACTGAGTCCCTACCTTTTCACATCTCCTTATCATTTCCTGGAAGGTAGCATCCCTAGGCAAACCTAGCATGGCTTTCTTATAGTCTTCATTGCAGTTTTCTCTAAGCAGTGATTTTATGACTATTTCAGTCCCTTCTACTTCTCCCATTGTTCATGCAACTAGTTCCTGAATTCTAGCCACAAAATCAACAAAAGTCTCAGTAGGTTTCTGACAGGCAGCAGTCATAGACTCTTTCACCTGCCCCTTTTCTGGTATCCTAGACCAGGCTTTTCTAGCTTGTATTGAGATCCTATGATACCCCTCTTCTGCATACTGCAGCTGTTGCATAGTCATGGCAAAATCCCCTGTGCCACTCATCTGTTCGAAGAGGATTTTTCCCTGGGGTTCAGGTGCCAATTGGTATGAGACCACACAGCAACGATCTACAAACTCAGCCATCCAAAAGACAGCAGCTCCGGGTGTCAGAACAGCACGGGCTATTGCTTTCCAATCATTTGGGCATAAAATAGAGTTAGATATAACCTCTAATTGATACATTACAAAAGGTGCAGTGGGTCCATATTGGGCAACTGCTTGTTTTAATTGCAGCGAGGTTTTAAAGGGAATACTTTCATGCCTCCTCCATACCTGCCCTGGATTAAAGGGGTCAGGTTCTTCAATGACCGAATAAAGGCCAATATCCCATTCACCAACATCCACGTCCTGTTCTTTTGTTTCTCTAATGCTCTTTTGTAGTGGTGACTCTTCACCGCTAGATGTCACCATTGCCTTGATTTTTAGGCACGCACCACTGTAATTATATTCACTTCCCATTTTTTGTGGCGCAGCAGGAAAATCTCCCTCTACAGGAGGCTTTCCTCTAACATCCTGTGTAGGGGCTTCTACTTTTGTCGGTGGAAATCCCCTACGATCCTGCTCCCACAGTCCCCGGTTCTCGGGAGGGGTCACTATCAGGTTTCTTAAGGTGTCTTCCAGCTCTCCCAAGTGGGGTACAAGTTTGAACAGTATCCTGGGGGAGACTGGAGAGGGTGGTCTGAGGGATCTTCTCTTGGTTTGGGAGAGCAGGGTCGGCTTGCACAGGGGGAAGGGAGAGAGGAACCTGTCTGAGTACAGACTGGAAAGCACTGGACTTCTCCTTGCTTTTGATTTGTCAGAACCTGTTTTACAAGATTGTAGATGGTACAGTTTAAAAGCCAAACTTCCCCAGGGCAAGTACCATCATACGCAGTTAGTTGCTCCCCAAACACCTTCCATCTCCCTGGCTCGAAGCAACCCTGTTCTGGGAGCCAGGGGGACACTTGAAAAACCAACCTCACAAATTTTCTGAGATCTTTTAGGTGTATCGTTATTCCCTCATTCTTCGCTACCTTATATAAAGCCCTGGCGTAATTTTCCTCATCTGTGGGAAGGAGAAGCCCTATATTTTGACCCATTGTGGAAAGTGAAACTTTTTTACCTTCTCCACCTCCAGGGACGGGAAATGTCTAGGAGACCTGATTCTGTCGGGCTGAAGCTCGAAGCTTGCTGACGCTCTGTTCCTGGAGTTAGCAGACTCTGCCCGTGGGGTTTTCAGTCAGGCCTGTCATCGATCCGCCCCACGTTGGGTGCCAGTTGTCGCAGCCGCTGCAGTGGAGAGCAAGAGACCAGTTCAATGCTCAGTGACCCAGAGACACATGGATGAGACAGGAGACAACAAGATGGCAGAAGCTCCGTTTATTGTTAGCTGGGTGTGTCCTATATAGCCCTCAAAGCACCTTGGGATCGCTTGATCAGAACCCGTCAGTCAATCAGTAGATCCCATCATTGCATGCAGGCCTGGAGTCAGGGATGTGCACGGGAACACTCAGTCATTCAGAGGAGCGCCAAACCAGTCATGATTGCTGCATGCCAACAGAGGAGAAGTCAGTTAAGACTTCCTTGTTTTCACACAACAGACTGTGACCCTCAGCTTCCTGCTGCGGAAGCCAGAACTCCTATAGGCAGGGCACAGCCCCGTGATCATTCATGTGACAAGGGTGATTTTGGCATGGGGATCCTGACACTCCCTATGCCTCAGTTTCTTCTTCTATAAAATAGGATGTTGGATGAGATGGCTTTGAAGGTCTTGTTTGGCTCTAAATATATGATCCTATGATAATTTAATTTATCTGAGATCATTATATCCATGAGATTAAAACCATATAAATGTGAAAAAAAAAACTAAATGTTTAAGGTGATAGAAATAGTAGGTCATAGTGGATACACCTGACCTCAAAGCTAGGAAGAACACAGTTCAAGTACCTCCCTACACATATTGGCTATGTGACTCAGGGCAAATCACTTAAACTTTCAGTGCTCTATGCAACTTTCTGAGAATATAAATTGCAGAAAAGGTACTACATTGCTAGAGGGAATTTTCTCACCTGAGAGTTTCCTGTACTAATAAAATGTACTAAACCTAATCCCTGTCTCCTTCCCTTTTAAGAGAGAGAGAGAGACAGAGGGGGAGAGAGAGAGAGAGACAGAGACAGAGAGAAAGCAGAGACACAGACAGAGACAGACACAAACAAATAGAAATAGAGAACCAGAGACAGAGAGAGACAGATAGAGATAGAGTTAGAGAGACACATAAATAGATTGAGCCAGAGACAAAGAGTAAGATAGAGAGACAAAGGTAGACAGAGATAGAGATTCAGGCACTGTACTAAGCCTTGGGCATAAAAACACAAGTAAACAAGGTATGCTTGCCCTGAAGGAACTTATAATCTAATGGTGGAAATAAAACCAAATGATCTAAGAACTAATTTAATTAATTACATGACATAAGTCCAGTGTTGAAAAACCCTTTTACTACCTACCTGATGGCTTCTACTTAAGAAGACCAATATGTTCATGAATTAAATGAGCTAATTATTTTTAATGACCTCTAAGTATGTCAATTATATTTAGCATTTTCAAGGGTAGCATGATACTTTCATCCTATTTAAATAACTTACTATTTTCTGGACAATTTTGCCTAGAACCATTCTAGAGTTCAATCTTTTGAAGGCATTTTTGTTTGAAAGAATTTTTGGGGATATTTCCACCACCCCCAGGATTTTGTTTTCTGAGCTACCCTCAGCAGCTAAATTGAATACTTCTTTATTCTAGTCTAGAAGCCTTGATTTTTCTTTCATTAATAACAATAATATTACCTTTCTTCTTTAAAAAAAAAGTACTTTAAGGTTCACAAAGCATTCTAAATACTTTATCTGTGTCTCTGAACAATGCTGTGAGGTAAGTACAGTAGGTTTTATTATTTCAGTTTGGCAGATGAGGAACCCGAGTTTCAAGGATTAAAGGCTTTGTTCCTATTCACATAGCCAGCATCAGCAGCAGGGTTTGAACTCAAGTCTTACTGAATCCAACACAAGCACTTTCTCAATCCATTAGGCTAGGCTATCTTAGAATGATACTGTTCATTAGTAATATCCTTATTGGATGAATGCAGTAGCACTTCAGAATATCGTGTCTCAGCAACTTTAGTTTGAGAAGAAATGTCACTTGAGAAAGTGACCGGATTCTTCTTAAGCTCTTATAAAAATAATATGTCTTCTACTTGCCCTCCTCCTCCTCCTGCAATAAGTCTTTTAGTTTGAATCAATCCTAAACAACTTGACATGAGGATATTAATCACAAAGGTTACTTTCACCAAGTCATTACAACTATCATTCATTTTGTCTAACATTCTCGTGAAGCTTTAGAGCTTTTTAAAAAATTGTTTGCTGTGATGGAAAATATTAGCAAGGATCAACTTAACCTTTGCCAAGTCAGTGAAATTCTTTCCTGAGGCCCCAACTCATAATTGTAGAAACTGTTAAACTGATTTTTATGATACTCAAGGGCACCTTTGATCTTTTCAAAGGGTGCTGCCACCCGAATGTTCCCTCATCCTAAGCATCATTTTCCCTACTTGTGGCTACCTTCACCTTTACACTAGTTTCAGAGGTCAGAATCTGAAAAAATCTCTGAGTCACTGAAATCTCAGAATGTCTTCCCTCACTTTCATTACTTATATCTACTTTCAGTTTCTTGGTGTTTGGAGGTGGCCATAGGATCATAGATTTAGAGCTATAAAGATTCTTAAAGGCCATCTCACCAAACAAATCTGTGAAATAGATAAGAAAAGCATTAATAGGTAGTCGGGTAAACCAACCTAGGATGAACAGCAGGGCACTCTGTAGAAAGGTCAGGGACTCTATGCTGGCCTCCGATCCTGATGGAGACAGTCCAACACCCTCAACCTAAGACTCTTGGAAATAGGAATGCTTTTAGCCCAGTACCAACATCCTAGGAAACAGCCCTTTTGGAGATGCAACTTGGCAATTGCTCTTGAAAGGGCTCTAGACACAGCTACTAAACACACAGAAAAGAAATTTATTACCACCAAAATCTTTGGTATTCTCAAATAGTTCACCATCAGAAACTAATATCATTTTATTCATGGAAATGACATTAAATGCATTGTTGGTGGAGTTGTGAACTGATCCACCCATTTTGGAAAGTAATTTGGAACTATGCCCAAAGAGCTATAAAACTGTATAATCAGTAATACCACTTCTAAGTCTATATCTCAAAGAGATGTTTTAAAAAGGAGAAAGGACCTATTTATACCAAAATATTTATAGCAGATCTTTTTGTGACAGCGAAGAATTGGAAACTGAGGAGATGTCCATCATTTGGGGAATAGATGAACAAGCTGTGGTAGATGATTGTAGTGGAATACTATTCTGCTATAAGAAATCATGAGCAGGATGATTTCAGAAAAACCTGAAAAGACTTACATAAACTGATGTAAAGTGAAGTAAGCAGAATTGGGAGAACATTGTACACAGTGACAGCAATGAGATGAGAAGAATGAAACCTCCAAGACACAGGGGTTCTGGGTAATTAATAATTAATTGATTGATTAGGCTAGCTGGCATTCAATAAATTAGTGGCTAGTGGTTTCTTTCAGTAACTAAAGAAGTCAAGGGAGACCCTGAAATACCTTAAATCCTTTCAGAAAGGAAACTTCCCTGATAAGTGGAACTCAACCTTAATTGGTGGACATTTAATGAGGAAATGGGCTAAAAGTCTTCACTTCCGCCTGTGGAGAATGTGGCTTGATCATGAGAATCAGCAGCTTCAAGGCATCTAGATAAAGGAAGCCATCTCAACCTGGACCTCTCTAACTTATTTTCTCTTCATGCACTGGGTTGCCCTGAACTGTAATGGAGGGAATCAAGGGCAGGAGGCTCCTCTTCCAGGTAAAGGCTCTCCCAGAGTACATTCTGTTTATACTCTAAATAGAAATTAAGTCTCCAAGTTGTGTAAGGCCCAGGTTTATCTAGGGCCCTAGGAGCAAATCTCATCACTCAACCTTGAGGCTGACTGATTTTTTCAGGAGTTGGGTTTTAACAGAAATGAAAGGAAAAGGGTAGATCACAAATTAATAATTAGTTATTAATGTGATAGTATAATAGTAATTTCTCTCAATGATGAGTAACTATGAATGACAGCTATTCTCAAGGATAGAATGATCCAATACAATTCCAAAGGACTTATGGTGAAAAATGCTATCCACCTCCAGAGAAAGAACTGATGGAGTCTGAATGCAGATGGAAGCATACTATTTTTCACTTTTTTTATGGTGCTTTTTTTTTTGGTCTGTGTTTTCTTTTACAATATGACTAATATGGAAATATGTTTTGTATGATTTTGCATGTGTTGCCTATATCAAATTTCTGATTGTCTGGGGGAATAGGAGGGAGGGAGAGAATATGGAAGTCAATATTAAAAAAAAAAGATACTGGAGTGGTTTGCATTCCTTCTCCAGCACATTTTAAAGATGAGGAAACTGAGGCAAACAGGATTAGTTGCCTTACCCAGGGTCACACAGCTAGTAAGTGTCTGAAGCCAGATTTCAACTCAGGAAGATGAGTCTTCCTAACTCCAGGCCTGGTGCTCTATTCACTGTACTACCTACCTGCCCTAAAGTACATCCAGAAGAGGGTAACTTGGATGATGAAAGGACTGGAGCCAATTCCATGTGAGAAAGAATACAAGGACTTAAGGATATTTCTCCTGAAGAAAAAATTACATAGGAGGCAGATATTATTGATAGTTATCTTCAGTTATGATGTTTGCCATTTGGAAGCAAGGTTTGATTTGTTCTACTTGGCTCCAGAAGGCAGAACTAAGGAGCAGTGTGTATTGGGGGGGAGAGTACAGAAAAGCAGATGTCAGCTTGACTCCAGGGGAAAAAAAATCTTCCTGACAATTATACTTATTCCAAAGTTGAACAGGCTGTCTCCCTGCAGAGATGGTTGGTTGCCTGGTAATGCCTGTCTGCAGGTTGGGAAGTTGAATGATCCTGTGTTAGAAAATTTGTTGGGGGAGTCGTATTTCTTTTCTATGTCCAATTAGATCGCCTCTGATCCCTTCTGTTTTAAATTCTGTGTTTCTGTAGTGTTTGGCATATATCCCCTCCTTTTTAGCCTTCCTTTTTCCTATGCACATTTATAGATCTTTGAAAAGATCTTACAAATTACTTACATCTTTGTAAACTGGTTTCTCCCCAAGAGGAGTAGTGGATATTTACCTCACAACCACAAGGGGTCAGATTTTACTAATCTCTTGTAGGAATATGGTTAACCAGGATATTTTTTTTATTGGTATTTCATAAAATATGAGGATTCTAACTCTGGAGTTTTTTAAATCTTGGACTATTTTATCCACTAAAAAAGCAACTTAAAAAACGATTGTTCTGACTTATTATCTATTCACAATTATTATTATTATTATTATTATTATTATTATTATTGGCAACTCTTCCTCCTCTGAAGCAGATCTTACAACCAACTATGACTTAGTAGATAGATAAATAGTGACAGACATAGAGATAAAGTGTTTTTCCCAGGGTCACAGAGC